CCTGCAGTTAACATGCCTGGCTAATCTAATCCTGGACCTAGGGCTCAATGAAAAATGAAAATGAAATCTGGCAAGAGACAAGTTATAAAATCTAGGAAATTTATTTCATGCATACCAGAATATATTGTAGTGCTGTTAATAATAATAATTTGGATATCAGCCTCCCACAACTATGATAGGAGCCAACCCTTTACACTCTGGGTTGCTTGCTTGCTGTTGGATGGGAATGAATTGCAAAAATGAACAGAAGCAGAGTAGGTGAACAGCAGACAAGAGACAAGCAGGGGAACAATGTCTTCAGTTGATATTTTTGCAGATCATGCATGACCTGCCAATTCTGAAGATCAGATTTCTGGACTTAAAAATTTATAGTGCAGAAAGCATCATTTACATGGAAATATTTTAGAACTATTAAATTCTTTTCCACGTGTAACACTCAGTTTGCCAGAAGAATATTTGAAGTTTTTAAACATGGGAATTCAAAGGTGAGAAATCTTAAAAATAAGCCTTTAGGGTAAATCTGAGTTCAATTGTCCTTTGCTATCTGTATAAAATCCCATTACACCCATTTTGGTAAATAAACGCCCTTAATGACTAGAGGCTTTCTACTGATGCTCGTTTTAGTTCTTACTCAAATGCTCCTAACTATGAGAACACAGACTGGCCTTATAAGAACTCTCCAAGAATGCACCTTAGGAAATAATTTGGTCTGCTGCCAGAACATGGAAAAATAAAACAATCTCAAAAACAAAATAATTTGGATTCAAAAGTTTTAAAAACCATTACCAAGCACTAATTCCTCATGAAATAGTCTATGTGTCTCAATGTTATGCTTTAAAATAAAATTCTACAATGAAAGCCATAGTCTGCACTGGTTCTTTTTAAAAATATAAAAGGAACTTTCACTGACAATGTGAGAATAAGATATTTTATGTGATCTCAAAGTTTACTAAAACCACTGAAATGAGGTGCCTGAATTTCACCAGAGCTGCATGGGCAAATCCATCCGTCTTCAAGAAGGTCTTCAAAAGGTTTACAGTGTGCAGTTTTACTGAAAAAATTGAAATCCCTTCATGATAAGAACTGAGCTCTATAATTGGGTTCTATATTGGTTCTACAATCTCCCAGGACTTGAAATGGACCCCTAACATCAGAACAGTCATTAAAAAGACACAACAAAGAATGGTCTCCCTGCATCAACTCAGAAAGCTTAGACTGGCCAAGGAGATGCTGAAACAGTTCTACAGAGAAATTACTGAAACTGTAATCTATACTTCTATAATTGGTTTGGCACTACAACCAAACAGGACAGATTCAATGGATAGTTAGGACTGCAGAAAATACAAGTGCAACCAGCCTGCCTTCCACTGAGGACCAGAAAGGGGCTGAGAAGGTATCTATAGACCCCTCACATCCCGGACATAAACTGTTTCAACTTATTCCCTCGGGATGCTGCTATAGGGCACTGCAGGCTAAAACAATTAGACACAGAGACAGTTTTTTTCCTTGTGCCATCACTCTGCTGAACACCTAGTGCTCACAGTATTATCTTATATCTAAGTATATTTACCCATATAGTAGGACTGTATTATCATCATCATCATCTTCCCTACTACCCCCTCTTAATTGGTATCATTTTTATGATTAATATTACTCTGTTGCTTTGCATGCACACTGAGAGCTTCTGCACCAGAGACAAATTCCTTGTATGTCTAATCATACTTGGCCAATAAAGAATTCTAATTCTAACAAAAACTGATTTCCCACCAAATTCTTCTATTGAACTGCCATAATTTTTGCCTTAGCAAAAGGTGCCATCCAACAGTATACAGTGAGGGGAAAAATTGTTTGATCCCCTGCTGATTTTGTACGTTTACCCACTGACAAAAAAATGATTAGTCTATAATTTTAATGGTAGGTTTATTGTAACAGTGAGAGACAATATAACAACAAAAATCCAGAAAAACGCATTTCAAAAAAGTTATCAATGGATTTGCATTTTAATGAGTGAAAGAAGTATTTGACTGCTTCGCAAAACATGACTTAGTACTTGGTGGCAAAACCCTTGTTGGCAATCACAGAGGTCAGATGTTGCTTATAGTTGGCTACCAGGTTTGCACACATCTCAGGAGGGATTTTGTCCCACTCCTCTTTGCAGATCCTCTCCAAGTCATGAAGGTTTCGAGGCTGATGTTTGGCAGCTCGAACCTGCAGCTCCCTCCACAGATTTTCTATGGGATTAAGGTCTGGAGACTGGCTAGGCCACTCTAGGATCTTAATGTGCTCTTCTTGAGCCACTCCTTTGTTGCCTTGGCTGTGTGTTGTGGGTCATTGTCATGCTGGAATACCCATCCACGACCCATTTTCAATGCTCTGGCTGTGGGAAGGAGGTTCTCACCCAAGATTTGACGGTACATGGCCCCGTCCATCGCCCCTTTGATACGGTGAAGTTGTCCTGTCCCCTTACCAGAAAAACACCCTCAAAGCATAATGTTTCCACTTCCATGTTTGACGGTGGGGGTGGTGTTCTTGGGGTCATAGGCAACATTCCTCCTCCTCCAAACACAATGAGTTGAGTTGATGTCAAAGAGCTCAATTTTGGTCTTATCTGACCACAACACTTTCACCCAGTTCTCCTCTGAATCATTCAGATGTTCACTGGCAAACTTCAGATGGGCCTGTACAGGCCCTTTCTTGAGCAGAGGGACCTTGCAGGCGTTGCAGGATTTCAGTCCTTCACGCGTAGTGTGTTACAGTTGTTTTTTTGGTGACAATGGTCCCAGCTGCCTTGAGACCATTGACAAGATCCTCCCGTGTAGTTCTGGGCCATTGTCATGATCATTGAAACTCCACAAAGGGAGATCTTACATGGAGCCCCAGACTGAGGGAGATTGACCGTTATTTTGTGTTTCTTCCATTTGCGAATAATCTCACCAACTGTTGGTCAACTTCTCACCAAGCTGCTTGGCAATAGTCTTGTAGCCCATTCCATCCTTGTGTAGGTCTACAAACTTGTCCCTGACATCCTTGGACAGCTCTTTGGTCTTGGCCATGGTGGAGAGTTTGGAATCTGATTGACTACTTCTGTGGACAGGTGTCTTTTATACAGGTAACAAACTGAGATTAGGAGCACTCCTTTTAAGAGGATGCTCTTAATCACAGCTCGTTACCTGTATAAAAGACACCTGGGAGTCAGAAATCTTGCTTATTGATAGGGGATCAAATACTTATTTCACTCATTAAAATGCAAAATTAATTTATAACTTTTTTGAAAAGCATTTTTCTGGATTTTTTTGTTGTTATTGTGTCTCTCACTGTTAAAATAAACTTACCATTAAAATTATACACTGATCATTTTGTGTTTGTCAATGGGCAAACGTGCAAAATCAGGAGGGGATCAAATAATTTTTTCCCTCAACGTACAAAACAATATACAGGTAGAACTTGACTTACAACAGATCATTTAGTGATGTTCAAAGTTACAGAGGCACTGAAAAAAGTGAATTACAACTGTTTTTTACACTTACAAGCACTGCAGCATCCTCGTGGTCAAAATTCAGACGCTTGGCAACTGACTCATATTTATGATGGTTGCAGTGCCCCAGAGTCATGGGATCACCGTTTGCAACTTTCAGAGAAGCAAAGTCAATGGGGAAGCCAGATTCACTTAACAAGTAAGAAGAGGGAATTAAGCTATTTTCCAAAGCACCTGAAGGCAGGACAAGAAGCAACGGGTGGAAACTAATCAAGGAGAGAAGCAACCTAGAACTAAGGAGAAACTTCCTGACAGTGAGAACAATTAATCAGTGGAACAGCTTGCCTCCAGAAGCAGTAAATGCTCCAACACTGGAAGTTTTTAAGAAGAGACTAGACAGCCACGTGTCCGAAATGGTGTAGGGTTTCCTGCCCGAGCAGGGGGTTGGACTAGATGACCTCCAAGGTACCTTCCAACTTTACTAATATGAACATCTGTATTCATATTTGTATCTCATGCCATTATATTTGCTTTTAAAAGTTTTTTTAAAAAAATTAGTACTGAAACTTGGGCATTTATGAAGTCTGAATAGGTATTACTCCACCTTTGCACGAGGAGCTGCTGGGAGTAAGGAGCAGTGCAATGGTTCCCGTTCCCAGCCTTCCTTGGAGCGGGCAGGATTCTGCAGGAAAGCAGGGTCCAGGGAAAGATGTCTTCCCTTTTCATTCTGGCAACCCCGATAATGGCAAAAATAAACTAGGATCCTCACTGTTGGGAGAACAAAGTAATCCTGCCTCCGCCTTCCTCCATTTCTCCTTTTGTTCCCTCTGGTTGATCAGATGGCTTACATACAGCACAATTAGTTTATAGCAATTGGAAACAGGTGATATCTTTTTGTCAACCAAGTGATCAACTGGCTGGCAAACCTCAAAGATGATTCTAAAGGTTGGGCAAAAAGCAATGACCATCTATCCCAGGGGTTCTCAACCTTGGCAACTTTAAGACTTGTGGACTTCAATTCCCAGAATTCCTCAGCCAGCTTTGCTGGCTGAGGAATTCTGGGAGTTGAAGTCCACAAGTCTTAAAGTTGCCAAGGTTGAGAACCCCTGATCTATCCTGTCTTAAGCAAGCACTCATTTCAATATAGACCCTCGGAATAAAGCTAAATATGTTGAAAGTCTAGAATAGTATTATATTTTCACATACTTCTCAAATTGGAGCCAACGTTTTGTATAAAGTAAAAAACACATCCTCTGCATCAAAATAAGGAAGATGAATTATTAACCATAACTTGATTATCAAGTGACCAAAACAACAGGATCTTCGATGACAACAAAGAGAGGATATTATTCTTGGGCTTACAAATGTGGCCACCATAGCTAACTGGCTGTGGTCAGAAACAAACTAAAAGAGTAAGTAGCCCCCTGCCTTCACCCTCCTGGCTGTTCTGGTTTCCTTTTTCTAGCAAGGACAGAAGGCTTACGTATTTTGCAACTAAAGGTGATAATTGCATAGAGGAGCTTACTTTGGGTAACATGGGTGTGTCTCTTTTCTTCTTCTTTTCTGAATTGGGATCATCCAGTAAATCTGGTTCAAATGTGTAAAGTTCTGTGAGTTCATTCATTGTAAAATGGCGTTCAACCTGTTGCTGATCAACCACTCGGAAAGACAATGACTGTTTTGTTACCTGTCTATCATAGATCTTGTCTTCCATGGTTCCCTTTAAAAGAAAAATATATTAATGCAGGCAATGGTATTAGTATTTTGCTGTGCTTATTATTAGTTCCACCAAGCTCATAAACCCTTCAAGAATATTTAATCTCACTCACTCACGTAATATTGTAGTTATTCTGATTAGATGAATAGCCTTTCTTCAAGTGAGCATGCTTTTAAAGGCAGGTAGAAAGTTACTACAATTTTAAGATACCAACTTCATGCAGGGTGGCAGTAACAAGAATTATGCAAATGATATTATCATTTCCAGAAAACTAAAAGCAGAAATTTATCTTGACATAACACATGGCCAAAATCTAAGGGGTACCTGAAGATTTGCTTATGCTCTTTCAATCTACTCAGCCCCTCAAATTGGCAAACTAGAACCTATTCTCTGATAATGTCATTAGCAGACATCATTTGGCTGCCAGGAAACGGACCTTATCTTTGATGATATCAAAATTCTTGATCCTCCTCTTTAATCTTGGTCTAGCTCTGAAAACATGCTAAAATCAAGGCAAATCCCTTTTACAGAGAAGAACAGGCTACGCAGGGCTTTCGTTCCTCCTCCCACAGGAAAACCACCTGCAGCAGGAGTTCCCCTGGGCCGCAGCTTGTTCAGCACCAGGCCACGGAAACAGCAGGCTTGCATGGGACCCTCCCCTTCCCCCCCCCCAGTCCGCAAAGCCGGAATGGTTGGGGACTGCCAACCTACAGAATGGCACCTCAAGGGGCGGTTACCGTATTCAGTCTTTCAAACGCATAACAATATTATTGTACTTTATGCCATTTGAAATCTTTCAGAATGTGAGAGCGCCCCACTAGATCAGGCCTAAGGATTCGTGGTCCAGCATCTTCTCTCATTACATTTTCTACCTTGGTGTTTCTCAGCTTTAGCAACTTTAGGATGTATGGTCTTCAACTTCCAGAATTCTCCAACCAGTATGCTTTTTAGATTCTTATTTAAAAACTAAAACATATTGGGGCACCCAAGACTTGTCTTACTTTTTGAACCGGCACACTTAATTTCAAAGGCCATTTCAAAGAGGACAGAATATTTAGATCAGATTGGGGTCAACTAGATGGAGTGACAACTTAGTATGAACGTGTCCTATTGTTTTCTTTGTATTTGTATATTTGCACTAGTTTTATGCTTCTGATATGGTTAGATGACGAAATAAACTTTCTAGTCTATTCAAAAGAGAAATATATAGCATCTAACAGTTTGAAAATGTACCTGAATGAGATTTAAAAATAAAGATTATGCCTTTTGAAAAATAACTTCAAGCTACAATGAAATTAATAAATATGACAATATATTAGACAAGTGTCATCCTTGTGATCTCCTCTGTAGAATGTTAAAAATTTGAACTAGAAGAGGTGTTGTAATCAATGATTCCAAATATACTTGAAAAACAGACTTCAATTATATGGAAAAGATTCAGTTCTGACTTACCTGAGCTAAAAATCGGTACACATATACTGGTTTAGTTTGCCCAAAACGATACACTCTGAAGATACTCTGAATATCGTAAGATGGGTTCCAAGAAGCATCAAAAATAATTACTCTATTTGCTGCTACGAGATTTATCCCAAGGGAGCCTGCTTTAGTAGAAATAATAAACAAGCGACCTCTGCAAAAATAAAGAGTAAAATAAGGTATTAAATAGGTTAATAGGCTAAATTTAATAGGTTTTCTCCACACTAAGTGTGTTCACACAATAATGTTCTTTTTAAGGCTGAAAAAGTAGCATGAAATCTTTTTGAAATGATAATATTATGACTTGCATTGAGTTTGTGTCTTGTAAAAACTATTATGTCAGAGATAACGCATCTAGAATAGAAAAGTAAAGTATCAGCCTAATTCAGCCTACAGAATATTATCACAAATTATGTATAACTTATACTTCAACAAATGATTATTGAAGAAATAGAATTGAATGTTTTGTTCTTCAACTGCACACAACTCATGACTGAAGAGAAATCATTTCACTAGGACTATTAGTCCCTTCCTCTAAGAGCTTTTGTAAACTGACCCTCGTGTCCTGAACTACGATGAACAGCTTTTTGTACCAATTGCATATTTTCTTCAAGATGCTCTCTGTCCTCCTCTACTTCATCTGACAGAACAGTCTTTCTCTCCCGTAGCCCTTCCGTACCTATATTCACCACACTGTGAATCTGTGAGCCCAAGAAGAAGAAAAACTCAGTTTCTGCATCAACTGCTTCTCTAGTTATACTGGCTGGCATTGTCTTCTGAAGTTTTGTTCCTTAATATTTAAGCAGCAGGCCTATCCTGCGCTCTCTGCTTTCTTCTTTAACGAGTGATTCCTTAAGTGTTTCTCACTTTCAGCCATCAAAGAGCTATTATCAGCATCTCTCAGGCAGCAATTTTAACTCCACTTTCTCTTTTTTCTAATCCAGCACAATATATTCTGCATATACATTAAGCTTATTATATATTAAGAGCTATTATCCACAGCTTATTGTGTACAATCAAAAGCTGTTGTATGATCAGTAAAAGTAGGTAGCTTTTTGCAATTCCCTTTCTGTTTCCATCATCCATTGGATGTAAGGAATATGATTCTGAACGCCCCGTTTCTTCTGAACCAGCATGTACAGTGTATCTGGCAGTTCTTGATGCAAAGACTGTTGAAATCTAGCATTAACTTATTAGCACGATGTAAGACAGTTGTTTAATGTTTTAAACATTATTTAGCAATGCTCTTTTTTGGAATATAGATTGATGTTTTCCGGTCTTTTGCCCACTGCAGTATTCTTCATATGAGCATTTCAAGTTGCATAAAGCATTTAAGGGCATCATTTTGTATGATTTTAAACAGTTCTGCTGGTAATTCCTGCAGATTTCCTATTTCTAATTTAATATTCCAGAACATATGGTTCTGATTCAGTGGTCAAATTTAGAATCATTCTAGCATATTTGGGTTGTATACGAACACAGGCCTTAATGCTTTTTAGATATGGCATTTCTTCTATGATTTTCATATCCACAATCTTTCATATTGGCTTATAAATCTCATTTCAATGGTTGGAAAAAGAGGCAATTGATTAGACTGCCCCAAAGTCATGGGCTACTGGCCTACAGATAACCATTTTCTTCCTATGTTTTACTCTTAGAGTTAGAGTTAGATGATGCTGGGGGGAGGAATGTGCATGAAAGTTTAGTTAGACATAACAATACTGGACTTAGTGTGTGAACCAAGGTTATTGAAATAAGAGATGATAAGAATTGGTGGGCTGGAGAACTGGAGGGAAAGCCTGCATTTCAAACTAATTGGAGAATGTGATTTATGACGGTTAATTGGAGGAGGGAATTGTGCTTTGATACTGTGTACTCAGGGGAGGGGAATTCAGTTTTTGGCTTCATTATGTTAGTGCCGATGCTATGCTTCTTGAATAAAGATCCTTTAAGGTAAACAATGCCTCAAAGTTCTTTGAAGATTTTCATCTGTCGGAACCATGACACTCCCTTACATAGCCTTTCATTCTTACCTGATGTTGGTTACATCATTAAACTCTTCTGCCCACTTTTTTCTTGACTGAGCAGTAGTAGAACCATCCAACCGATAATAATCAATATTTCTGAACCATTTTCCTTCACCTAGGAGTTTAAAAAGCATGGGTTGAAGTGTATTTTACAAGAAAGCAAGTGTTTATCATCCTCTGATAGTTTCCATTTCTTTTTAAAATATTACTTATGAAATTCATGAAAGCTTCTAACTTTTAACTGACTCTGTCTGAAAGGTGCCACCGGACTCCTTCTAATGATTAGATTTGACATAATGGAGACATGTAGCAGACTTTTCCCAGATATCCACACATTTCTTGGGTGATGCACTCAAGAAATATATAAATAGTACGCTGTGTTTTCTCAGTGAAAAACTATATTCTTGCTTTAAAACGGTATTGTTTTTTTCTGCCCCTTATTTAAACGCCTATGAAATACAGAGAAAGAGGAGGCGTTAGTCATTATTTAACGCACAAAGGCATGTTTTATCATTCTTATAATAAATTCTATTTTTTATATCTAACAATAATTTAGAACCTAAAGTTAGGGTTAACATAGATCGTCACAGACTAAAACTAATGAACTGAAATGTAACTTACAGAATGTGATGTACTCAACTTCAATTGTGTTATTAAGCATATGGCTAATTTAAACAATTTGCATTACAACTTAAACAACTTCATTCTGAAGGATTTCAAATAAAATATTAGTTAAGTATAAATTTCGCAGAATTAATTAAACATATCTTTAAAGATGGTTGGTTGGATGGATGGGTGGCTAGATGGATGGAGGGATGGATGCTTGTTAACTGTATTTTATCACTGAAATTTTCATTTGAGGAAATTGTTTTCTGGTTTTTGTACTGATTGATTTGTCTCTTGGAAATTACATTTTGTAAGTAAATTTTAAAATTTAATGCTTAATCACTGTAGACAATATTTACAACAGCTAGTTGCTCTACTTTTTAAAAAATTTGCTTGCTATAGTCTCTGTAAGTGCCAAAAAGGATTTTAAAATATGGGTGATGAAAGCAACATCTATTTTTAACAACTTTGCTTTCAAAATAAAGCAATGTAGCTATCCTAGAAGTAGAGGATTTGTGTTGTTATTTCAGGGAGTCCTGAATGCTATAATTTTTCAAGAAAAAAAGGCCTTCCCACCCCACAGGATAGATAATCACTTAAACCAGAACTATTAATCAAACAAATTAATTCCATGGTTAGATTAGATCAGTGTTTCTCAACCACATTAATTGGCTGGGGAATTCTGGGAGTTGACATCCACCTATGTTAAATTTGACATAGTTGAGAAAAACTGAATTAGATTCTTCCTGAATTGCTGTGAGAATAGAGAAACCTCACATTTTTCTCCCAAATAAGAAAATCACTATTGATCTGTGAAAATATGAATACAAAGAGAGACTTTACAAAAAGCACTTCTTGCTCTGAGCATAATAGTATAGGCAATTCCTTATCTCTGCCTCTGAAAAAAGAAGAACGAATAGACTTATTGAAAGTACAAATAATAATTGAAGGGAAAACTGAAGATATAAAGGAAGAAAAAGGAAGATGACAAGAGCCTCACATTGCTTTTCCCACAGCTCGTGATGGGTGAAAGAGCCAGAGAAAGAGGTTTTAACCAGAAGATAAGGGTCTTGAAGACACCACTGCTCATAATGCTCTTTTATTTAACATGCCAGCTCAGAGATAGAATTTTTTTTCTCCCCCCCCCCCCAATCTTCACTTTCCTTAACTTCAAAGGGAGACGCTCTTCTACATTTCTGCTGGCTGGGTATTTTTTATAAAGTTCATCATAAGCTCATCAGGCAGGGAAAATGAGCCATCTATACAGTTGGGGCAAAAAGAACTCAAATGCCATAAATCTGTGCACAACTGCTCTCCAGAATTATAAAAGCTGCAGAAAGCCAAGGATGGAAGAAAAAGTATATATCAAAAGTTCAAATATTAAACCTAAGATCACAGCAGTGTGATTTGTAGTTTAGAGTCTGCCCCGAAGAGACTTCTGACTGAACAATTTCAACAGCAGCAGCTGCCGCTGCAGATCACACCTTAGTCCCAAAGGACAAAGAAATACTGGGTGACTGTGCCTCCTTGCACAGTGTTCCTGATAACAGAAAGGCACTTTCACAAAGCAAAAATATCTTTACTCACCTAGGAAAGGAAAAAATCAATCTCAGAAGACAGATAAAGGGATAAAGCACAAGGTTTTAAAGGCTGTGTGTTACGCTGCATTGTGAAAAGAATATAAAAATGGGAAATGTGGGTGTGGAAGATTTGCAGATCTCTAAGTGAGTATTTGCTTACTTACCTTTATATATTACTGGCTTTCCTTCTTCTTTGTCCCGGCTTGCTAACTCAAGAAAATCTTCTATCAAGTCAAGTGATATCAGAGATTGGCTGAACACTAAGCTGAAAATAGGAATTGGAAAAGATTATCAGTTTTCACACCTGTAATTAGCGTACCGATGTGTTGTGCTTGGTACCCTCAACTCAGTTTATAAACGGAAGGGGATATTAAAAAGCTTGTTTTTCTGGTCAGTGCAGAATGAGGATGGCAATTTTATGGGGAAAAGCCCACGCCACTGTTGAAGTCTTGTCCCCTTGGGTTTCTGGACTGCAGGTGTTCTATCACCTAAGAAGGGAATTTCATTGAGTTCAGGAAATGCAGGCTAACTGTTGCACTCATGTTACCCAGTAGAGCAATGAAACATCTCCAACACAAAACCAAACTCTCACGACACCAGCCATAAAACATACCAACCCTGAGCTGCATATATTTGCTACCATTGCAAAGAAGATTATAGAAATGTAAAGTACACAAACACAGATTGTTCTTGACTTACAACCAGTCATTTAGCAACAGTTCAAAGTTACAACAGAAACGCCCCCCAAGTTCCGACAGTCTTCCCCCGTGGTCACATGGTTGCATTTTGGTTGCTCAGCAACCAATCTAAATTTATGGCTGCTTGCAGCATCCTGTGGTCACATGAACACGATTTATAATATTTTTTGCTACGTTTTGGCCTTCCAGTTTCTGGCAAAAAGCACCCATAGCTGCCAATGGGTTTGCTTAATAACCACCCCCTTCACTTAATGACCATCATAAAAAAAGTTTTAAAATTGGGCATAGTAATAGTAATAGTAGTAAAGTTGGAAGGGACCTTGGAGGTCATCTAGTCCAACCCCCTGCTCGGGCAGGAAACCCTACACCATTTCGGACAAATGGCTGTCCAGTCTCTTCTTAAAAACTTCCAGTGTTGGAGCATTTACTGCTTCTGGAGGCAAGCTGTTCCACTGATTAATTGTTCTCACTGTCAGGAAGTTTCTCCTTAGTTCTAGGTTGCTTCTCTCCTTGATTAGTTTCCACCCGTTGCTTCTTGTCCTGCCTTCAGGTGCTTTGGAAAATAGCTTAATTCCCTCTTCTTTATGGCAGCCCCTGAGATATTGGAATACTGCTATCATGTCCCCCCTTGTCCTTCTCTTCGTTAAACTAGACATACCCAATTCTCGCAACCGTTCCTTATATGTTTTAGCCTCCAGTCCCCTAATCATCTTTGTTGCTCTTCTCTGTACTCTTTCTAGAGTCTCAACATCTTTTTTACATCGTGGTGACCAAAACTGGATGCAGTATTCCAAGTGTGGCCTTACCAAGGCATTGAAGAGTGGTATTAATACTTCACGTGATCTTGATTCTATCCCTCTGTTAATGCAGCCTAGCACTGTGTTGGCCTTTTTGGCAGCTGCAGCACACTGCTGGCTCATATTTAAGTGATTGTCTACTAGGACTCCGAGGTCCCTCTCACAGTTACTACTATTGAGCATGGTGCCACCTATGCTGTACTTGTGCATTTGGTTTTTCTTGCCTAAATGTAGAACCTTGCTTTTTTCACCATTGAATTTCATTTTGTTAGTTAGTGCCCAGTGTTCAAGTCTGTCCAGATCCTTCTGTATCTGAAGCCTGTCTTCTGGAGTGTTGGCTATTCCTGCCAGCTTGGTGTCGTCTGCAAATTTGATGAGTTCCCCATCTATCCCTTCATCCAAATCGTTGATGAAGATGTTGAAGAGTACTGGGCCCAGAACAGAGCCCTGGGGCACCCCACTACACACTTCCCTCCATATAGATGCAGTTCCATTGAGGACCACTCGCTGAGTACGGCCGGTCAGCCAGCTACGGATCCATCTGGTGGTGGTTCTGTCTACCCCACATTTTTCTATCTTGTCAAGTAGTAGGTTGTGATCTACTTTATCAAATGCCTTACTGAAGTCCAAGTAAATTATGTCCACAGCATTCCTCTGATCCACTAATTTTGTCACTTGGTCAAAGAATGCAATAAGATTTGTCTGGCATGATCTATTTTTGACAAACCCATGTTGGCTTTTAGTAATGACTTTGTTTGCCTCTAGGTGTTCGTTGATTCGTTGTTTGATTATCTTTTCCAGGATCTTCCCAGGTATTGAGGTCAGGCTGATAGGTCTGTAATTTCCTGGATCACATGGTCCATGTGCTTAACAACCAGCACAACGTATGACCGTAATTTTGGGCTCAATTATGGTCATAAAAAGGACTACCTGTATTGCAGCCTAAAACTGGAAGATTTTTTTTCTAATCACCAAGAGTCACTTACACTTTCTCTCCACGTTCTTCAGCCATGCGCAGGATTTCAAAGAGAAGCATCATCTTCCCCGAATGCTCCAGCACTTCAGCATCACCATCAACCACAAAACCCTTATACCAATCAGGGGCGGGGCTGCCTGGATTGGAGGAAGTCGTTTTACCTTAGAGAAGTTAAAGAAAAAAAAGTATCACTTAAAAAGGCAGAGCACAGGCTCTTCTCAGAGTGGTCAAACAAACCATGAAAGTACAGTTTCTTAGTTAAACTTACACTTTGATTATAATATCATAGTATTACAGCCTATCCTAAACCTAAGCTTTAATCCTTAGGTTTAGGGAGAGAAGGGGAAAATATCGCTTCCTCGCCAGGGAAGGAGTAGCTAAACAGCTAAAATATCTATTTGCACAGTTTATCTCTGTAATCTCTACACAGTATTTCCTTTCCCTACGTAGGATTGACCTCTGGACTGGCACCTGGCCCTGCGACCCTTTCCTTGTCTTCCTGAAGCTCCTGCTGTGGAGGATGACTTTTTTTTACACCCAGCTCTTCCTGTGGCTGGTTCTGACCTTCACGGCTCTCTAAGGAAGCTCCACCCAGGCTCCCACCCAAGTCTGGCCGTTCGCCTCCGATCCAGAGTGAAGTCTGGACACACTGCTGGACTGAGCTACCTACACTGGTGATGAGGGCCATTATCTTTCGATGACCCCACCAAAAGACAACTCTCTTAGGGAGGGGTTGACTTGAATCTGTACTGTGGTTTTTAAAGCATAAACTACGGAATTCTCCAATTGCTTAAGCATTTATAAATCCTGATTCATTTTAAATAGCTTAAACCGATCATTGGTTGTGATCACATATTGTGTATGCATATTTAAGCTTATTCAATCGAATGAAATTCCCTATGCAATTATTAAAATGATATACAATCTGACTTTAGTAAATTAACCAGGCTAAACAAATAAATCTGCAGCCAGTTATTAAGATTTGTTTAGGAAATAAAAACAAATTTTTTTAGCTAAAATCCTGGTACTAAAGTCTATCAAATAGCTATAAATAGTAAATTTTTATACCTCAGTTAATGTAATATCTACCTTGGCTCAGCTGGATTTCAACAAATGGGATATTATCTGAAAATTTACATTTCCAGGAAATACCTTGAATTGCAAAATACTCTATTCCTTTGTAACTAAAAATATATATTCTGTCTATATTGGTGCTATTTAAATAGACTGTTTTATTGCACATTTCAAATTTAACTTATTTTTGCTTCATTTCTCACTGAATGGCATGAAGCATCCCCATATCATTTAGTGCACTATTGTAGTTCATTAAATATACGATTCCACAGAGTTGAAAATATTTAAGTATTAATTTTTAAGACTCTCTATAAATGTATGTCATTTGTGCAATATATTTACCATTAGCTTAAACAGATAAAGAATTACCAATCTATTTGTATGAAGAAATTCTACTAGATACAGGCAAATTACCAATATAAATTTTGTCCTTCAGGAGCCCGCATGGCATTTTTAGTACTGGAAAATGCTATAGGATACTACAGTGGTAGTATGCAATAGCTTTACACATGCTTCAGGCCCTAGACATGATTATGATGGTTTTCTTTCAGAAAAGCAAAGTATTCTGGAACGTATAGCTCTATGTAGCCCTAACTAGAGAGCAGGTATCAATGTGTTGGAGTGTCTGGCAGTTATTGGGTTAAATGCCAGGTATGTGGATGGGTCAGTGGGAGGAGTTCCAAAGAGTCATTGGGAGACTTCCTGGACACAAGCCACATGGGAATCTCTTTGTCTGTAAGAAGCATGGGCCATGGAAGATCACACAATAAGCCTGAGTCGTTATAAAGATGGTATGGAAGAGCATCATACTTTTACCTAAAGAGATGGTCTAAAGAAATGGACAAAGGATGTATTTTCCAGGAGTATCAACCACAGCGTGAATGCAAGCAATCTTTCTAATAAATATATTTTTTGTTTATTATAAGATCTTTTCTTTTGAGTTATCTATCTGACCGGATTTAAAAGAAGGCGCTTTTTATTTCTGAGTCAGAATACAAAGGCCAAGCTAGGATATACCACTACTGAATAGGAAGAAGACCCTTGGTTAGAGAAGGCTGGCATACATAATAGCATCTACAGTCTTACAACATTCTGCTGGATTCCAATGTTATCTTTATTTATGTCACTTACATTCTTTAGACAGACTAGGTCTGTGGCTTTAATCTTCATTTCATTATATATATATTATATAGAGAATGATTTATTTTAAATACAGAACAAACTTTCCTCCTTTTGGAACTTCAATTTTACTATTAATTACAGCATTTATTTCCATGGAATTTTCTTCTTGTACTATTTTACAGGTGTTACCACATACAGAACACAAATTTGCTGAGTGCAGTATCTATTGAGGAAGTGAACATTTAAACAAATGACCCATCATCTTACAATAATATACTTCAGAACAAGAAAATACATGTTTACATCTTTTGCTTTGGTAGAAAAAGTTAAATAGAGGTGAGATCACATTTTCATTTTGCTAGCATGAGCAGAGTAAACTGACAGTGCTGCATTCAACTCTCCGTCTAAAACTGTGTTCAAAAAGCCAACAAGAGAAACTGTTTTAACTCAGGCATTTACCAACTGCAGTTTCCAAACTGCCTTCAAGGGTTTTTTCTTTGTTGCCACCATTCAATCACTCCTGGCCCTGGTTCTCCCATGCAAACGTTGATGTCCAGCTTCCAGAATGAGTCCCGCCCCCCTGTTCAAGTGCAGCTTCTCGCTACCTTCATGCCTCCAGTCCCTTAGAATCTGGTGGACATCAATCCTGCGATGTTAAATCCTGAGCTTGCTGAAAAATAACAGTACACTTTCACTACACTTCCTGTCATTTATCCTGATTTTTTTCTCACTATCTTCATGCTTTTAAAGTCTGGTACCACATTAACCTTGGGATATGAAATTCTGAGCTTTCAGAAAAATAGCAGTACATTTTCACTATTTCTCCTGTTAATTATCCCAATTTTGGGACTTCCTCCCAAGAAACCTTGTATTGGGCGGATTAAAAATTATAGTTTACAAATTCACTGTTTTAATTTTTTTTAAAAAAAAAAAATTGAAAACTACCTTGGGATCCATTGGGACTTGAGAATATAGAAAAATTTAAAAATAAAAGCCACATTTTCACATCAAATATATTACACACAGTTCATTTTTGAGTCTTTAAAGTAGGGATTTTTAACCTTTTTGTGCCATGACTTCTTTTTCATGTATGGTGAAGCCTCCCCATTCTTTCCCAGAAAGATGTGTTTAAACATCCATGTAAACTATCTTATAAAAGGAAGCCAACCATGTTCAAAGAATTATTAGCACTTGGTGCTTGCAGATGTTTCATTACCCACCTAGATGACTGTACTGTCTACAATAATATGTGGCTTTCATTATTAATCCACTAAAGCAGGGGTGCCGGCAATGGCAAAACAGTCCCGTGACGTCACATGACGTCGCGAGTTTGACATGTCTGCATTAAAGCAAAACCAAGATAAACTAAATGTCTGTTAGAGATTAGTGAAAATAAATTTGTCTTTTTTTCCCATCCACAGACCCCCTGAAATCTAACCCCAGCTCTCAAAGATCTGCAGTCCCCAGGTTCAGCACCCCTGGGACCAGGAAAAGGAGCAGAAGCAGCACTGGGCACAAAACCCTTATCACTACACGGGAGGCGGAGTGGTGGACTTAGTTGCCCTTGACCGCCCACTACAAAAAGCCCTCCACATCCATTAAAAATCTTACTTACCTTCATCTTCTGCCTTTAAAATGACTGGAGGGTTGCTTATTGGCTCTTCCACAGCTCCTTCTCTACCTCCCCGAGATCTTGAATTCCAGACTTTAATCACTTCAACGTCGTTGTCACTCCCACTTCCACTGGAACTGCTGTCTTTCTTAGATTTCTTGCCCTTTGTTTTCTTCTTTCTAAAAATATATTTCAACATGAAAACTCTTCAGTCGCACTAATTTTATTCCCAACTGCTTTAACATGCAATTCCATCAATAAATTGATTTATTATTTCAGAGGAACAATTCAACTTACTTAGTATATTCATCAGAGCTTAAGCTCACTGACGTTTCTTCAGAATCAGAAACTATGAAATCATCAAGACTGTCTTCATCAAAATAGCCCTGAAAAATAAGGCCACATCCATCCTTTTTTCAAACTTTCAGAACACAAATTAAAACATACAGAAACAGAAAAAAGTATGGAACCAGTTATCAAAAAATGAAACTCTCTAGAATTTGGCATATCTCACTTCAGAGCTGCTATGAGAGACACAAAGACAGAGAGATGATTACCTTGTTTTCCTTGCTAATATAATCCAGCTGCAAACACCAAGGATGAGTCCAAATTCTGCTTAGCATCTGGAAATCTTGGAAGAGTTTAGCTCCAGCTTTGCCTCTTCCACCTTCACCACTGTTGCTGACACCTGACAATGGAGTTCAATTACATACTTGAAATAAATTAACCAAACTGTAGGTTTAGCAAAATCAACTCACTTTTGTACAATGCACCAGGGATTCACTCTCTTTTTCCTAGTCACTTATAAGAGAGGGTTCTCCCATTGGTGCAACACTGCTACCAGAAATCAGATAATTCAAGCAACTGAATTAGTATTTTCTTTCTTTCTTAAAATTGCTAAAAATTCATCATTCATCTTGTTTTACAGCTTTGACAGTCTATATTATTTATAGGCATATGTTATTTACATATGCAAACAGCATTTTTAATTTATTTATATGTTATAAATCCCATTTTTTTAAAAAAATCACAATATTTTCCTATTAAGGCCTTAATAGTTATTGCAAATCATACTTTAATATCTTTTTATATGCAATACTAAAAACAGACAACTGCAGAAACTTAACTTTTTAAGTGAAGTTCTCTCATTCAGCCTCAGTCCCATAACATTAAAATAGTCGAGGAAATTCAAAACCATTAAAATTTCCAAAATTTAAGCATATTTGACAAATTAAATTTTTATCTAATACTTAGTATACCTGTCATACAGGAATTTATCCAATCCCCTTTTAAAATCATGGAAGCCAGTGTCCATCACCATGTCTTATGGTAATGAACTGTATAGATCTGTGTGAAATGCTCCTTTTTGTCTGTTGCAATGTCTCCTCCCAATCAGCTTCAACGGATGGCCCGGGAATATTTGGAGAAAGGGAGGTGGCTTTCCTTTCTCTGTGCCATGCATAATTTCCATCCATCTCCTCTCAAAAACCCTTTTCCAAGATATGCCCCAACCTTTTCTTGTAAGGAAGATGGTCAAGCTCTACAGCTGTTCTCTCTTTTAAACTTTTTCCAGCTCTGCTAGAGACTTTGTAAAATGCAGCAACCAACACTCTAGTTGCAAACGTACCGCCAAGCGGTATAGGAAGACCCCCATTCTCTCTGAATACCAAGCCAACAAGATCATCTTCATCTAGGTAAAAAAAGTAATTAACTCCACAGTGCAGTTTGGCTTTGCCTACCCCATATGCAAATATCCGCTGGTTCTTTTCTTTTCTTTTTGACAACAATTAAACAGTGAACTATCCTTACCTGTTAGGTGATCCAAGTAGTATTGGTACAGTTTACACTGAATGGGAGTCATTCTGACAGCTAAGACATACTCATATTTTGGTGGCAGGAACTTTGTTAATGCTGTATAATCTTTCCTCTACAATTAGATCAAAAAAAGAGAAGCTAGAATAGTGCTAAGATGTCATTCGAACATCAAAGTACCAATCCTGATTCAATAAACTTTGTAACTTAAAATACAAAGAACAACTAAACTGCTAAGGAAAAAAAATTACAATTCTAAATAGTGAGACTGTTCAGCGAGACCAGGGTGCACAGAAATCTCTCTGTACAGCGAAAGGACCCTGGGACAGAGGTAAGGTAGATGCATTGCCTGATTCAGATCTAGGGCTAAGCGGAAGTGGCTTTGGGGTTCCATAGGGATAAGTTTCAAAATGTTCACCATTTTTTTTTAATTAACTTGTGCTATTGGTTATTTTAAATATAGCTTTAAGACACAAGCCAACTTTATGAACATGGTCTGTTTCAAATGAACATTTGAAGATGAGTCTAATTACAGTTTAAGCAAGTTAGGACCCATAACTATACACTCTTCTGCTCTGGAGAAGAAAAGGAAAAGCTGACAACCCCACTTCGGCAGCTGAAATGCAACTATAGTAATGCGCCTTACACGGCCTGTCTACAACTGACATGTACAATTAAGTTACCACCATTTTTTGCAAACGATTTTTAAACGGGGCAGGAAGGAGAAAGTAGAAACACAAATAAACAAGGAGAAAAAAATTAAAAGGTTAAGAGACTCCCATGTCATAGCTTGGGGTGAAATGTGGGTCACAAGTCTAAAAAGATTAAAAGTTCTGCCCCAAATTATCTTCCTTAGATATTATCCAGTAATTGCAGGCCACCCTGAGTGCCCGTGCCTGGTGGGGTTTACATTTTAAAATAAAAGAAAAATAATCAAATGGCTGTGGGCAAATCAAAGCTTTTAAAATATTTTCTTTCTTGTTAATCAGCAATAATGGATTGCTTGTTAAGAGAAAGGTACAACTTCAGTTGACAGGAGAGCAGCAAATCAAAACACAAAAGTTTCAGTTTCAGAGGTAAGGAATTTTTAATTTTCACAATGGAGCAAAATAGCACAAATCAAAATCCACGCACCTGAACACATCCAGCTAGCATTTCGTATAAGATATGTGCCCGCTTTTTCATCACCCTCACATCTACTAGAGTGGAATCAGCACACTGGCCATTCTGAATTGGATTTATAAATCGATTTCGGAACTCCTTAATCGATCCAAGTAAATTCTCCTTGATGAAATTAACCATGCAGTGATCTGAGGAAGGGAAAATTTAATTTTTAGTTCCTTTAATCGGAGTAATCTTGTTACAAGTCTTTAATAAAGATGGACCAGTATATATTCATTGCGGCCTTCTCTAGGTGGGTGGCCTTGATCCAGAAAGGCAACTTATAAATATTTAAATAAAATAATGTTTGGAAACAGGTTCGGGCTATTCTCTGTTTTAAAAGAAAGGGACCATTAGTTCAAACTGGGGATTGGGCTGGTGCTTTGCACCCAATCTGTACAATAATGTGCCAAGTGCACGAAGCACAGCCCTTTCCAGCATCCTGCAATTCAGCATGCCATTTTCAGCCAGGCAAAGCCTCCTGATGCCTTGCTATCCTGGATGCAGTGTTTTGAGATGCAAGATACTCTCTTCCAGAAGAAGCAGCAGAACTGGTGAACAACTGCGCCAGGTTTCTGACTGCTTTTTAAAAAAACACTGATGCAAGACAAGACAGCTGCCATCGCTGAAGGCACAGGTTTGCAGTCCTAGCAGTCAGAGACTAGGCCAATCCTTGTATGAGGTTTTTTTTTTTTAACACAATCATATGAAAATTGTCACGCTACATTACATAAATTACAGGGAGGGAAAAAAATTCAAGGAGAGCCCCAGCAAAAATATCTTTAATAAGTGTGGAAACTGTGTGTATAGATTTACAATAATAAATGCAGATGTTTGTTGAATAATCAAACTATGACTATATTTAAGGATCACAAGTGGGGAGAAAACCAAAGATGCATGGAGCATATTATTCCAAGTTAGCAGAACTATTTTATTTTCATTTGAAACTGCAAGCAGATATAAAACATATGTTTGGCTCCCTCTTAAAACGTACTTACATTCTATGAGATTGTTTTGCAAAGGGGTTCCTGTAAGAATTATCCTTCTCCTGGATCTGATAGAATTCATAGCTTTAGAAACAGCAGAAGCTTCATTTTTTAGTATATGTCCTTCATCACAGATAACAAAATCTGGGCCTGAAATTACAGAAGTAGCATCTCACAGATGTCTGTGAAGTATGGAACATTGCTTAAATGCCAAGTCATGAAGGAGCTAAGTGTATTAACTCCAAATAAGCATTTTCTGCCAAGGTTTACCTGACAATTTACTCTAAACTGATATTCATAGCCCTATGTACAATATAAATGCATGTGCACCCTGTGCTGCTGGCCTGCTCATAAATGCTGTGTGGGATCTTACAAAGGGTTTTCCGTGAGAAAAAATTATTCTGTACATGTAGCATTTTTACTGGACCTACTCTTTTGGATGGATTCTCTCAAAAGTAGCCAGACAGGGCTTTGCCGTTACTTTGGATTTACTTTGGAAGAGATGATTCAGGGAATACAAAGTAGCAGAATTTCCACATCTGTTTGAAATTTATTGAAGTAATTACAGCACAGCACTTTTAGGAAAATGATGCAGCCGCTTTAAAAAGTTGCAAACCAATGTTGAGTCTGCATTCTCATAATATCTTAAACCTCTTCCAAACTGAACACTCTTTTACCAATAGAAGAGAATATGTGTAGCTCATATGGAGGTTTTGGTGCTCTCTGAAACTGATTGTTTTCTTGTAGACATTTCATTATCAAACTAGGTAACATCATCAAAGGGGGCTTTGCTGGGTAATGAAACGTCTACAATAAAACAACCAAGAATCCCACAATACTACTTGTTTACTTGTCATCAAGGACTATGCACTTTCTGTATTTTAAAAACTAATTTAGTATCAGAAATGCAGAGTCATAGGGCACTGAACAATTCCCTAGAATTTAAGAAGCCAAACAACTACTTCATTAGACATATGCAAGAAACAAATTATTTGATACATGATAAAATATTCTGTTAATACTTAAGAAAATGCCTCACTAAGAAAATATACACACAAGATTTCTCAAGTAATATTTTTCAACATTTTTTATAAGCACAGATCACAGCACCATCTTCTGGTAAACTGAAAATAAAGTCAAAGTTGAGTATGAACGTATGGAAACGATGCTCCATTACTGATTGACAGCAATGCACAAGAAAGTTATCACGATGGCAACAATCACTATCAACTGGCCAGCCCTGCAATTAGCTTTTTTCTCTTTTGGCTGATTAAAAGAAAATATATCTGTTATCTTCATGATCTTCTTTAAATAAGAAGTTGGGTAACAAACTTCACTAATGTTTGAAAAGGAACCATTAAAGCAGGGGGCCCCAACCTCCGGTCCGTGCATTGGCCCCAGTCCGTGGCATGCCAACAACCAGGCAGCGCAAACAAGCGAAGCCCCATCCGCAGGATGCAGGCAGCATATGAAACCAGGCCCCCTCCGCACCGCAGAAAAACCTCTCTCCACGGAACCGGTCCCTCATGACCCAAAAGGTTGGAAGCCACTGCATTAAAGGACCATTAAAAGGGGAAAGACTGCCTACGCAATAAGCATCCATTATACAAATAGACCTTTAAGGGAACAATGTAAATAGATAGTTCTCGTGTCATAATGGTATCTGGGACTGAAATCTCTACTCTTAACTGATGTGGTTATAAAGCAGGATGTCATTTGACTGCCTCATTTAGCAATGGCAATCATGGCAGTCCCAGATGCAATCGTTGACTGAATCCCACAGGTCATTAAGTGAGGATCCACCCTGACCCAAGTCATTCCTAGCTTGGTCCCTCCCTTCCCTGAGCCTTGGTAAGGTAAGGGATTGCCTCTGCTTCAGCTCCCATCCCACCCGCAAGTCTGCCCCCAAGCGCCATCTTCTGCTTCTCAATTCCCCCTCCCCGACTTTCACTCTCTCCCGCCTGCTGCTGACCGAGTGCGCCTGGCCTGGCCCTATATAAGGGAACTGATGGCTGCTCCAGGCCTTTCTCCCGAGGCTGCTCATAACGTTCTCCAAAAAGTGTGTCCCTTTCTTGGGATGCTTCGGAAAGCCTTTGGAAAGCTCCTGAGAACTTCTGAAGCATCACGAAAACAACACGCGGAATATTTCAGAAGGCCTCGGGGGACTTCCAAAGCATTGCGAGAAGGGCTCAGGCTATCCATGGCTGTGTGGAGTGGCTAAAAGGGCAGAGACGGCGGGAGACATGCAGGTGCAAGGACTTGAAACGCCCCTGCAGTCCTAAGTATAGGTGAGCTACCAAGTACCCAAATTTTGATCACATGATCGCAAGGGGACTGTTAACAGCCATAACATCAGGGATCATTAAGTACCATTTGCTCAGTTGTGTCACCATAACTTTGAATGCTTGATGAACAAATGGTCATTAAGCAAGAACTATCTGATTAAAAGATAAAGCCATCAAATAGATCCACAAGTATAACTTCTCAGAAAACAGACTGCTGAAAAAAACACAGAAAGAAACAAGAAACGAGTCTTATACAAAAGGTTTACAGTAGGTGATCTGAAGGCTGCCCCCAAAGCTGAAGTATATGCGCACGCACGCACACACACACACACACACTTTCTACCAGTTGTTTTCAATGTAACAGGGTGGACTTCATATTATGTTAATTTAACTTTTTTCTTCCTGACTACATTCTGAAGCACAATCTCTGCCAGGTGCTACCCCAAGGCAAAGCATGGTTCTCAGCCCAGAAAAGGCTGTGCAGGTCTGGAAGGACAGATTACAATGGGGGTGTTTCATCATCTCCATATTGTAAATGGGAAGGGGGTAGGAGAAATTGCTTGGAATGCCCCTTGTCTACAGCCCATACAGGTTTGATGGGAGTTTTCATTTGCTTACTCACAAATTTCCCAGAATTCTTGCTCAAGTGTTCAAATGGACATGCAGGATGACTTCAACTGACTGCTTAAGCAGTCCTGCCTTTATTCTCTGCAGCCTCTACAAATTCAGCTGGATAGTTGCAACTACACCTAGGGAAGCTAGACATAATTGACTATACAGTCCAGACTTATCAATCATGCACGGATTCACACAAATAGAAAAACAACACATCCTCTCTTCAAGAGGTCATAGTTGGACCTAATTATTTTGATAATTTCCATTCTATCCCCCACTCTTCCCTTGTTAGGGAAGATTGTTGAGATAGTGGTAGGCAAACAGCTTCAGAGGCTGTGTCAGATTATCTAGACCTATTCAGTCAGGATTTATAGAGAGCTACAGTATCAAGACAGCATTGGTTACATGTCCCCCCGACCCTCTGGGGTCTCTTTATGGCATTTGATACCATTAACTATCCTATCCTTCCAGGCCAGCTTTATGGGTTCAGAGTGGGGGATCCATTTTGCAGTGGTTCTCCTGCCTTTATGACCAGTCTCAATCAGGGTTGGGATGAGAGATCCAGTTGTATGCCCCTTAAATAGGAGGGGTGAGAGATTCAAGTCCTGAGCATCATCTATAAAAGGTGGTGCCTCAAGACTTGGCTCTCTCACCTCTCCTATTTAACATCTACATGAAACTGCTGGGTCAAGTCATTTAGTGGCATGGAGTCTAGTACACTAATGATATTCAATTGTACATCTCTCTCCAATGTCAGGCAGATGATCCTGTCCAGTGCTTACCCAGTGCCTGGAAACTCTAAGGACCCGGATAAGGAGGAACTGGCTGCTACTCAACCCTAGCAGGATGGAATGGTTGGGGGTTTTTGCCTCCCAGGTCAGGAGAGACATTATCCTGGACTTGTAGCGCTTGCTGGAAGAACAAATGGCAAATGTGGCTGGGGTGGGATGGGGCTTTGCACAAATTCCATCTTGCATCAGTTGTGCCCATTTCTGGACTGGAGCCCTTGCTTACTGTCACTCACACCTTAAGTCATTTCCTGATTAGACTATGCAACATGCTCTATGAGGAGCCACCTTGGAAGACCATTTGGAAGCAGCAGGGAGTGCAGTTCTGGGCAGTTTGCAGTTCACTTGTATTATATTTTTGTTTCATGACCTGTACTAGCTTCCAACTATCTTTAAAGCACTATCTGGCACAAGGTATCTGCGGGATCACCTCTCCTAGAGGCTATCTGCCCAACCCACTAGGTTCCATCGAATGTTGTCAAATAGTGGGACCTCAGGTGTGCTTTCTCAGTAGCAACTCTGGCCCTTTGGAATAGCCCCCTCCCCCCAACTGAGAACTAGAGAAGCCCTACTTTTTTAGCCTTCTGGAAAACTGACTGTTCCCCCAAACACTGAGTAAAATGAGGTTGATTCGGGGGTCAGTAGTATAGATGGTTCTGATGGTTGATAGGAAGGCTACGGTGTGTTTTATGTTGTTTTTACTGGCTGCTGTGAGCCACCTACAATCGATGTGTGAGTTAAGAGGCCATGTACGTTTTTTAAATAAAACAAATAAAAAGACAGTACAAGTGCCATGCTATTTCATTAAGCCAGATGTTACAAAAACAGAGAATGCAAACTTTTTTCTGCAAGCTTTATTCAATTTAACTGGATTGTTATTTCTCTTGTGATGTATCAATGCTTTCCAACATCCTAATGTTTATCAAAAATAAAAATAGAAATTTGGAGGATCTTATCTTTAGACCACACAGGGAATCACAATAGTTTGGAAGCTCCAAATATGTTGTTTTCAGACTGGCTTTCAGAATTTCTCTTCTGAACTTTGTTAAAATGATTAACTAGAGTTTTTGACTTACAGCAACTACCAAATACTACTTTTCTTTCCTTTCTTTTTGGGTGGCTTTTTTTGGAGACGGCATATACTAACTACATAATTAATCATCTGGATTTTTAAAAATGTAAATCTGGATCTCATGTCTTGAGAAATCCAACAGTATTCCAAAGCATGTCCAGTTTTACCATTCACCAATCAAGTTATCTGACATATACCTTCAGAAAGATTACATTCTGGTTACTGCTGTTACTTTCTCCAGTTTGAAGAGTGATAATGCCTTAACCTGCATTCTGCTACACATTGCTTTGTATATAGAATGTGATATCTATCTACTCAAGAACATCCTCTCCTCTACATGACTTGCTTACTTGTCACAGAAGGAATTATCTGCAGTGTTCTGGCTTACCAGGATCAACCAATGCTTTGTTAAATATTTCTTTCAGTTTTCTGCTCTTCACATTTCTCCCTTGTGCAAGGTTGCGATACATTTCATAGCCAATGATCATGACACCTCCTTCATCCTGCCACCTTTGCAACATATAGCTCCTCTCTTGAGGGCGTTTCACTGTTGCTAGTTCAGAGACCTTGGGAAAGCAAGGAAATAAATGATTTTTATTTTTTTAAGTCAACATTTGTTATGTGCTTTCAACATATAAATGTGGATCACATACTGAAAATCAAGAAGTTCATAATTCTAAACATCAATTTACTATTCCTGAATGCAGATACACTCCACCTATCCATATTACACATTAAATACCTCAAGTTTCTCATCATCTTCTAGGCCTTCTTGCCATTTTTCAAATTCATTCATCCAGTTGAGGGCTGTATTCAATGGACACACAACAAGAGCAGTTCTGAAATCCAGTTTGTCGCAAAGCAAAATAGCGTGAAGGAAACTAACTACCTTCAAAAGAAAGGCAAGAAAATCAGCATTAGAACAAAACTACACCTGGAAAAAACCTTTTTTTTAAATAAACAAAAAATGGGAAACAGAACATGAATGATTTTTTAAACAGAAAAAGAATATATATTTTTAACAATATTTTATTGAGTTTATATACATAAGGAAAAAATAGGAACAATACGGGTATGGTAAGGAAAGGGGATGGGGAGAAGAGAATAGGGGATTTAGGATAAAATAAGAATAGGTACAATCACGTATTTTAACGAACAAGCTACTGTCCGGATCATAATAATGAGTAAATATCATAAAGCATTTTTAAAATAAGCTTAGTTATAGCCATATTACCAACAATTATTAAACATATAAATTCATCTATTTGAATAAACACGAATAATAAAATCTCAAGAAATCCTGTCTATCAACATTAACGGATAAGAATCACTAAATCACTAAAAATAAAAATGTCATCAACCTATTAATTAAAACTCGGTTAAAAATCAATCATCTACTCTAAAATATTAAATCCTTTTCAAATTCTAACGTGTCTCTAACCATTGATAAAAATTTTCCCAAGTTATAAAGTAAACTGAGTCATCTTTTTCTTTCATTTCCAATGTTAATCTATCCATTTCTGCACACTCTAAGATTTTAGTTAATTATAGCCTGATCAGATGGTAGATTCTCATTTTTCCAAAATTGGGCAAATACTATCCTCGTGGCTGTTAAAACATGCAATATCAAATAATCATTCTCTTTACCATAATTAGGTCTTAATATTCCTAACAAAAAAAATTCCGGTTTAAATTCTATCTGTATTTTCATCATCTTTTCCAACCATCTATGAATCTTAGACCAATATTTCTTAGCATTAGGGCATATCCACCAGGCATGGTAATAAGTGCCTGGCTGTTGTTTACATTTTCAGCAAGTATCCGAAACATTTTGAACATTTTCGCTAAACGAACTGGTGTCATATGCCATCTAAAGAGCCGAGGTGGCGCAGCAGTTAGAGTGCAGTACTGCAGGCCACTTTAGCTGACTGTGTTCAGCAGGTCAGCGGTTCCAATCTCACCGGCTCAAGGTTGACTCAGCCTTCCATCCTTCCGGGGTAGGTAAAATGAGGACCCAGATTGTTGGGGGCAATGTAAATATATATATACATTGCTTACTGGTGTACACCGCTTAGAGAGTGCTTGCACTTAAAGCGGTATATAAGTCTCATAAATAAATAAATAAATAAATCTATAAAACATCTTGTATACGTTTTCTTTATATGGTACTGCTTTTGTAAGCTTAATATTTTTATCCCAAAGTTTTTGCCAATCTTCTAAATCTATAGAATATCCAAAATTCTTTGCCCATACTATCATTGTTTCTTTCACTTGTTCTTCTTCCATCTTCCAGTTTAAAAGAAATTTATAGAGTTTCTTAATCAAATTCTCATCTGTTTTTAACAAAATTTTATCTAATGGAGTCTGTTCTTTATAAAATCCTATTGATTTTATATCTTTTTCGTGTCTTGTTTGAATTTGCAAATAGGACCACCATGTCAAGTCAATACATTGTTGTTGAAGAGTTTGCCTGTCCTTAAGTTTTCCCTTTGTCCAAAATGTCTTTATAACTAACCAGTTTATCATAGTTAATCAGGTTTGGATAAGCAAATGCTTTCATTGTTGAAAGCCACTCAGGTATTTTCATATATATTTTATGTTTGATTTTCTCCCATTCTGAAAGTAGTACGTTTGCTTACTGCATGATTTTGAAAATATTTATGTGCTTTAGTTTTCTCATACCATATAAAAGCATGCCAACCTAGTTGAAGATCATGTTCCTCTAAATAAAGCAATCTTTTATTTCTCAATACAATCCATTCTTTAAGCCAAAGCAGAATAGCTGCTTGATAGTAAAGTCTCCAATCTGGAAGTCCAAAGCCCCCTCTATCCTTAGATTCTTGTAACAATTTACATTTGATTCTAGCTTTCTTTCTTCCGGTGACATCTTTGGTTGTAGACCCTGGGACACGAACTCTCCGTGCCCAGGGTCCGAATTTCTGTCACTGGCGGGCCGAGCAGGGCTGAATGCCACCCTGGAGGGGTGGCCACCAAGAGGTGAACTCTTTGAGGAAAGGGAGCCGCTGCCGGCTCTCCAAACTCAAAATAGCCTCTGGAATCAGCGAGAGAAAAGCAGAGAGCTTCGCGTTTGCCGCCATCTTCAACAGATCATCGGAGACAGGAGTCAGCTGTTTCAGGAAACAAGCAACTGGTCCGGGTGAGATGATATCAGTTTTTGTTGCAAAGTGGACCTTTGAGAAAATTGCCTGCCATTAAAGTTAAGCTGGAAGCCTAATGGGAGGAGGAGGAGGGGATTTTTGCTTCTCCCCCCTCCCGAAAAGCAGCGGTTTCAGCGTTTTAAAACTTTTGAAAATTTTTTGAATTGAAGCTACATTGTAGTATAATAGACAGATGGTCTGACCAGCACTATGGAGTCAAATGTTCAAATTCAAGCCCATCCAGAGTCAACTCAGCGACCTGATGTGTCATTCTTTCAACTTATCTCACAGAGTTCTTCTGAGAACTGAATTCCAGTCCTACAGATGAAGTAGCTGAATTCCTGAAGAAAGTGTAGTAAAGGTGCCTAAACTATTCATTCTTCTCTCCAGGAATTATATATAACAGCAATTGGAATATGCATTAGGTAACTTGGAAAAGTTTCACAAGTTTTCACAAGACGTGGTCATGTATCTTTTACTGGAAGAAGCTGGAGGGAGCAAAGCCCGTCCGAACCACAGATTCTCAAACATACCTGCAAAGTCTTTCCCAGACCCATACAGTGAGCCAGAATGCATCCAGAGCCTGAAGATTTCTTGGTTTTTCTCACAGATTCACAACAGCAATCCCACATAAACTGAACACCTAGAAGCAATGTTTTTAAAAAGATCCTTTAAAATTTAACAGTGGACAATTAAGCGCTTATTTTTGGCTCTGAAGTGCAATAGCTATTACAGAAGACAGACGTTTCATTGCCAAACGAGGTAACACAATCCCTCTCTGATGGTATTACCTAGTTTAGTAATGAAACGTCTGCAAGAAAACCACCAAGCTCAGAGAGTACCAAGGACCCCACAGAACACTCCAATGTGGCTTTAACCCAATTGATTCAAAACATAAATCTCCTAAATCTAGCATTTTTAAATACAAAAATTATTGTGTCAGCTTACCATCTACTTGATGAGGTTTAAGTTTTGTCACCATGTTTTGATGAACTTGCACTATTGGTTCTTTGGTTTCTTCATCTTCATCTAAAACCAGCTTAGTTGTAATTGGACATTTCAAAGGTGTATCTTCTAGTTCTATCACCTGGAAAGATTTTTTGGGATGTGTGCATTTAATTCAAGATACTTAACTCTCAAGCTACACAAGGCACGTATACATTGAGTGCTACAACCAAACAAGGTTTTTTTTTCAGATCCCATTTAAGTCGGAGAAGAACTATAAACCAATTCAATGGGACAATGGTTCTCTCTTTTAAATTAACAGTGGGGATTGCATTGTATTTTCTGCATATTTCGAGGTGCTAAACACATTTATAACAAATATATATATTTTAAGTCCATGCACATGTGATGATTTAAGATAGAAAGAAACATTTTTCTTTATTTGCCAAAAATCTGACAGGCCAGAATAAAATATGTGCCTTAGAAAACTGTAACAAAATATGCTTGATTAGTGGGCAAATCACAGATAAAATCTTATGTGCATGTATCTGTCCTTATTGGACATTTAGAAATCTATTTGTTAATTATTTCTATTTTCTATTTCTCAATTATTTCTGTTTGTTTGGGGTTTTTTTTGAGAATTTCATTTTAATGTGTGCTGGTGTGCCCACAGTAAAAAATGACAATAAAGGTTATCTTATCTTTTTACTAGCTTCAAAGTGAAGTGCTATAGAATGTTGCAGAAACAATTCTGAGAACATATGGAATATTATTAACTTTAGAAGGATATTGCTGAACCCAAATAGCAGACAGCATCATGCCCAATGCATAGCACAGAGCCTGGTTTGACATAGGGTGTGCCATGGTCTGGGGAGGGGAAGGATGGGGTACTTATTCAAAGCTATGAAGTAAACAAAGCCTCATGTTCCAGAAGTTCTCAAGGGACTGTTCTGGAGGCGGTGTGTGGAATTATAAAATTCTAGAAATTCTAAGAAAAGGGCAAAGGCTCAGAAAGAAAATTAAGAATTAACTGTCCAAATGATAAAAGAAGAAAACATATTCTTTGTATTCTGGCACTTTATTTTATCTGCTTTCAATAAAGATTCCTCTGTGGATCTGCTGCTCCCAAACAATGGGTTAAATATTTTGGTGCTTTATTTAGTGATAATAGAGTATCTTTATTGTCATTGTGTAACTCACAACGAAATTAAGTAATGCTGTCAACATAGGATATTTGCTTTGAAAAACATTTGTTCCTGAATCTCTTAACATTTTCATCTTAAAAATAAAGGCTGCTTGGGGGCAAGGGATTTAATTCCAACAGAATTACAGCTATCCAATATTGGTGAACTTCAGTATTCACAACTGGCACATATTTATGACGTAGCACATTTGTGAAATTCACAGCTGGCTTCCAATAAGCAAAGTCAATGGAGAAGCTGGCAGTAAAATTGCAAGTCATGGTCATGTGGTATGTCACTTAACAACCACAGGTGATTCACTTAACAACTGCAGCAGAACCAACATTGTAAGTCTGATGTTTCACTTAATATACACAATGCTTAGCAACAAAGTTGCCAGTCCCAATTAAGGTTGCTGCCTGTAGTAAATACGCTAGCATGTTATCAGTCTAACCAAGAAGTCTAATGTGCATTGCAACCTTTTATACTTTTTCTCATACTAGCAGAATGGATGCTTCAAGTTACGGGTAATCCTCATTTAGTGATGACAACTAGGATCAGCAACTCAGTCATAAAGTGAAGTGATTGTTAACTGAAACCAGGAATTTGCTTATGATCTTATTTCAGCTTTCTTTGAATTACAGACCTATGAAAGTCGCAAATGCAAGGACTGGTCGTAAAGTTCCTTTCTTTTTCATCACTGCTATAGCCATGAAAGATCCCTAAATGAGGACTTCCTGTAGTTAGAAATTTTGGCTAATTTGGTGATTTTTATCAACCTCTACTATTATCATTATCTGATTCTTATATCATTTCTTAAAAAGCTACACTGTCACCTGATTAGTTCTTAAAAGCAGCATATGAGCATACCTATTTCAACTAATATAGTCTTTTTTCAAAAGTGACAACTTTAAGATGTGTGAACTTCAACTCCCAGAATTCTCCAGTCAACCGTGCTGGCTGGGGAATTCTGAGAACAGAGACGTAATGTAACTTTTAAAAACGACTTTTAAAAATTATCTTTGACAAAATAAAAGATAAAAAAAGAATAATATAATGTAATCCTCATGTATCCAAATGGTATAAAAAGGCTTTAAAAGCTTTTAAGCTCAGGGTAATTATTCACATGCTTTCGGCTAAATCCAGCCACAGCTTTTTGAAGGGTGGACCTTGCCTTTCATTCCAACCACAATAGTCAAGACAATTTACTGCTGTTAAAACGACACTAATAAAAGCAAAAAAATAAGTATTAAAATATGAAAGCAGGGCAAGAATCCCAAATGATTACATCCGGTAAGAGAAGGGGCGTTGTCCTACCTGAACGCCTTTTCTCAGCATGAGGAATGTAGACTCCAAGGATGGGTTGATTTAGTCTTCTAGCCCAATCAGACCAAACAATCAAAGTTGCCACGCCTCTGCAGGGTCTGACCATGCCCCAGTTTCGAAAGGGCGAAGCGAATGATTGTGTGACGAGATGGCTCCGAACTGCTGACACTAACCTAGCTGCTAGTAATAATCAGGGAGGGGGTGGAGTCTACATTCCTCATGCTGAGAAAAGGCGTTCAGGTAAGACAACACCCCTTCTCCAGCATGTAGAGGAATGTAGACTCCAAGGATGGGACATAGCAAAGCCCCTATGATCCCTCGGGTGGGAAGCAGGTTGGTTAAGTGTCGGTGCTGAAATGGACCACTTGTTGTAAAACCCGACGGCCAAAAGCAGCCTCCGCAGAAGCAAACTTGTCGAGTTTGTAGTGGTGAATGAATGGTGAAGGGGACGACCACGTAGCCGCCTTACAGATGTCCTCTATGGACGCCTGAGTCTGCCACGCCGCCGATGTGGAAGCGCTACGAGTAGAGTGCGCTGTTAGGTGGCTTGGGACAGGTAAAGAGTAAGCCTGGTAAGATTGAGCGATCCACCTGGCTATAGTAGAGGAGGAAACCTTCTGTCCCTTGGAAGTTGAGTGGAAAGAGACAAACAATGCCTCCAATTTGCGAAAGGAAGCTGTCCTCTTAATGTAATGACGTAATGCCCTACGTACATCTAGGTAATGCCACTGCTTTTCTAGTGTGTGAGAAGGATTGGGACAAAAGTTTGGTAGTACAATGTCCTGAGCTCGGTGAAACAGGGTATTCACCTTGGGAATGAATGAGGGATCTAACCTCAGCACCACTCTGTCCTGATAGAAGGTACACAGGTCTTCCCTAACTGAAAGAGCAGCCAGCTCTGACACGCGTCTCGCTGACGTGATGGCTACTAGGAAAGCCACCTTGTGGGACAAAATGTGAAGAGGACAAGACCTTATAGGTTCAAAGGGAGACCTAGTGAGTGTCTGCAGAACACGAGGTAGTTCCCAAGATGGATACCTGTGTACTACCGGAGGTCTGGTGTTGGAGACTCCTTTCATAAAGGATCGGACCCTGGGATGATGGGACAATGGAGTGGCGTTGGCACAGGTGAACACCATGGAAAGAGCGGCCACCTGTCTACGCAAGGTGTTGGGCGCTAAGTCTTTATCCACTCCATCCATGAGGTATTCAAGAATCACTGGAATAGTGACAGAAAAGATAGACAAACCCTTACAGGTACACCAGTCACAGAAGTTCTTCCAAGTGGCATCATAGATTCGGTTCGTCGCCGGCCGTCTGGAAGCTTGGATCATAGCTATCACCTTGAAGAGTAAGATCCGCACATCAGGAACTGGCGCTCAAATGCCAGACGGCTAGTTGTAGCCACTGTGGGTCCGGATGGCATATGGCCCCCTGTGGTAGAATTATCCTCTCTGGAGGGATTTGCCAAGGGGGGGCTACGGCGAGGTTCACGAGATCCGCGAACCATGGACGCCTCGGCCAATACGGGGCCACAAGGATTAGCTCCGCCTGTTCCTGTAACAGCTTCCTGATGACAGCCGGGATCAAGGGAAGGGGTGGAAATGCATATAGAAGGCCCGCCGGCCAAGGGCTGCGGAGGGCATCTGCTCCTTCCGAACCCTGGGATGGGTACCGAGATAGAAACCGGGGAAGCTGGGTGTTCTTCGGGGATGCAAACAGGTCGACTTTGGGCCGACTGAAACGGTGAGTTATCTCCTGAAAGAGACGGGGATGTAGACGCCACTCTGAATGATCTATCGTAGATTGACTCAGAAAATCTGCCTGGTCGTTTTCCACCCCTGAAATGTGTTCCGCCTTTAGGGACAACAGATTCTGTTCCGCCCATGACCCCAGACACTGGGCCTCGGACATTAGAATCCGTGATCGAGTGCCGCCCTGCCTGTTGACATGGGCCTTTGCCGCCACGTTGTCTGTCAGAACCAACACGTGGCGGCCCGCCAACTTCTTGTGGAAATGGCGAAGTGCTAGGTGTATGGCTCTGAGCTCTAACCAATTGATATTTTTCTTGAGATCCCGTTGAGACCACCATCCCTAGGCAAATTGGGATTGCAGATGTGCCCCCCATCCAAACAGACTGCGTCTGTGGTCAAGATTACCCGAGTCAGTTCTCTGAACAGGGATCCTTTGGACAGTGCTGGGGACAACCACCAGATGAGGGACGTGAGTGTCTGTGGTGGGACTCGCACCCTCTGTGGAAAACATGCTACACCCCGTTTCTGGTAAGGGAGTAGAAACCACTGTAGTTGTCTCGTATGAAGCCTGGCCCAAGGCACTATGGCAATACATGAGATCAGTTTCCCTAACAGCTGTGACAGTAGGAGCAGGGTTACACGTTTCTCCTTGCGCACCCTGGTGACCATCGTACGTATGCTGAGCTGACGCTCCTGAGACAGGAAAACTCTGGCACTGGCTGGTGTCTATTATTGCGCCTAGGTGGAGCAAACGGTTTGTTGGGATCAGATGGCTCTTTGGGAAGTTGATCATAAATCCATGATCCTGGAGTGTCTTGATCGTCAGTGCCACGTCTGAACGGGCGTTCAGTGCCGAGGACGACTGGATTAGGATATCGTCC